CCCACTGGCATCCAAGCTAATTTACCTTCTCACCCCCCGTACAAGCGGCGAAAGGGAAGATCATGGCAATGCTTCGACAAAGTCTCTTCGCCTTCTTCCTGGAAGCGCCTTGTCTTTGACCAGGGCTCTCTAGACCAAGACCTTTGCGATAAGCACATCGTGAACACCTTCCTCGTGCTTGCATGATTTCTGTTGTTTTTGCTTTGAACTCGGCAGAACCGTTCTGGTGATGTAAGGACAATAAATTATTTGGAATCTTCAGTCTTCGCGTCTCATGTCCAGGATGCATTGGGAGGCAGGGTTGCTGGGGTCTCGACCTAAGTTGGCAAACCTTGAACAAGAAAAAAACCCTAAACCCTAAACCCTAAACCATCCCTCAAAACGAGCACCTGACACCCGGGCTTGGCCTCAAAGACTCCAGACCCTTAGACCTATAGGCTTGGCAGGCATCACCTCCACAACCGCGGGCTAGGCTAGGGCTCTTGACCTATTTCGGGCTCATGGACTTACAAAGCCCCTGTCGTAGCTACACCCGACTAGAGTAAGAAAGAGTACTGGTTGACAGCTCACAAACGTCGCTTTCACTCCTCGGCCATGCCGCCATCCGACCCCAGGGCGGCCGAACCTTTGCGACTTGCGGATTGCCATCTCGCCGATCTGTCGAACGGTTCTTCAATGGGAAAACGACCACGAATGCTACTTGGAGGTTCATGGGTAGTTATAAGTAGGGTTATAAGTCCCCTAATATGGGTTATAACTATACTTGCCCTACTTATAACTGCCTCCGAGTAGTAGGAGTGGATCAGGGCCAAGCTGCTGTGGCCGCCGCTGCCATCCGGTGGCAAGACGAGTGGCTCACTGTTGACAATGACCTGAAAGAGGCCATGAAGGCCGGGCTCAAGGTTAAGACTGCGAGCTATGAACCTCAGGACTCAGGCACAGAAACTTCTGCTGGATATGGAGCTGAAGATTGCAGTCTCGACAAGAAGAACTGCCACTACATGGGTGGTGGCGAAGCCCGTAGCTTAGATCTCGAAATGTCCAACTGGCATCGCGGTGTGGAGTAGATTTGTTGGTCTTTGGGCCGGTATCTTTCACAGACAGAAAACTTTCAAGATTTAGAGCTCGGATGAATTGTCGGATTTGGGGTACGGATGCTGTCACATGTTACAATCCTGATGCACGACAACATCCGGAACTCGCATGGATCCCACATTCTTCCCTTTCAGTACAAGCGCGCAAAGCAAAATGATCCGGTTTGAAAGACTCCAGTTTGTTCAACTGGTCCAGCCGTATCCGTTGTGCTGCGATCTGAAGCCCAGTAGACAAGGGGCCTTCTCGTGCGGATCGCCCCATATAGCCGAGACCTCAATTGGGCGGGAGCCGCCAACACGGAAAAGAGGAAAGGTGCAGCTCGATCTCCCGAATAGAGGTGCTGAGGGATTTCCAACAGATCTGAAGCCAATAAGCAAGGACAGACCTGTAGTTCTATCTAATGCACAGGACTGTGTCGATCGTTAGATCTTAGGAGTTTTCCAGGGCGGAAGCTCTAGTCGCGGCTAGGTGGATCTTAAATTCACAACTACAACACCCTAGGGGTTCTTGAAGGGTCTGCCCCACCTAAACCCTAAACCCTAAACCCTAAACCCTAAACCCTAGACCCTGTCCTAAGACCCTTCGACTCACGAACCCGATGGTCGGACCTCCAGCTGCCCCGGCTCCACCAGGAGCTGGCGGTTACCCTCCACGCCCTCCCACCGCACCTTGGAGTCGCATACTTAGAGGTTCATGGGTAGTTATAAGTGGGGTTATAAGTAGGGTAACTATAGTTATAACCCATCTTGGGAGGTATAACCCTACTTATAACTACCCAAGAACCTGAAAGTAGTCGAGAGCTGGGGGTTGGATTCAGGTGTACGGCTTGCTGCATGGAAGGTTGCAAAACCTTTGCAGCTCGGGGAAGATGTATAGACATCCAAACAAAACTGACCCCAGTCCTTCATCGCCTGAATCCTCAGCCAGTCGAAGCAGTCGAAGCCTTCTTGGCACACTCAAACTGTTGCTGCAAAGCCTAGAAACATCTAACCTCAAACCTCCACCCTCCAAGCGGACGGCATAAGACCCAGGGCTTTGGATTTCGGTTGCGAAGCCGAGCTGACAACATCATAGGGTAAGCCTAGATGCTTCGGCTTTCCATCATTACGTGGCAGTAACATCCTCTTGAGTGCAACAACCAAGGCACTGGAGTCTTTTTGTCATCTCGCTTCACCTTCTTCCACGGCCACAGAATCGAAAGGGCTTCAGAGAAGAGTGGGCAGTGGGGAGTGGGTTTTTGCGATGGGGCTTACTTGGAGGTTCATGGGTAGTTATAAATGGAGTGATAAGTCCCCTAATATGGGTTATAACTATAGTTACCCTACTTATAGCCCCACTTAGGGTTTGGGGCGTTGTGGCCTGAGTTTTGCGATGGCATAGGCCCCCGAAGCCCGGAGAATGGTATATAACATATAACATATTTGATACATAACATAGAATACAAAGAATATATCGCATAGAGCATATAGCGCATATGGCACAATGTAATGTATAGTAAACAACTTATCATGCATACTATATACTATGTTACTATGTCACATGGTATGTACGAAATGGAGTTATGTTCTTTGTCTACTACGAAATATACCACGTTTCGTCTAGAATGTATAGTATATGCTGGTGTCGATGCTTCGTGCGGTCGGCTGGCAATGAATTTGTACTCGACCTTGGATACCGGCAGCGGCAGAGGAGCCGTCGACCACAAAGGGAACTCCTGGAAGGGTCGGGGTTCAAGGGCCACGTTGTGGCACCCATATACTCTATACTTAAGCCTTCAAAGGGCTCCTATATAGTACTTTAAGGCTTATGTATATACTGTATAGGTTCAAGGGCCACGGTGGCTGAGTATTTTAGGTATGCCAGGCGAAGGTTTGGGGTTCAGGTTTCACGGTTCTGAGGTTTCGAGGGTCTGAGTTAGCCCGTAAGCTTACGCATCCCCCTCGAAGTTGCCAATCAGGACCCGGTGGTTGACAAGCTTGAGTAGGTTGAACAAGGCCTGATGTCCAATCGCACGTCGAAAGCTATGCCATGCTTAAGATGTCCCAGGCCATCCCTTGAAACTGCGCGGCAGAACTCCTCTTTTGACAGGCTTTGCGGCGAAGTCTTCCCGATTCAAGCATCCGGGTGTATTCCTTCGAGCAAGCCTTCACCAAGAGAGCCTGGCGTTCAAGACAGTCTTGGGGCACGCAAAACGCCGACCGGCAGCAAAGCTTTACAGAAAGTCAGCCGCGAGAGCGGCATCCTGTGCATGCGCTTCGCTAGGCATTCGCACCTTTGCTCGCTTCAGCAAGCCAAAACCACTGCATCTGTACACGTGCTGACTTCATCACGAGAGCAAGCACGGCTGCTCCCACAAGGACGAAATCCGTTGCTTGGGGAACCTACCTAGCTCCAAGGCGAATTAAAATCGTGGAAATGCTGGAGTCCCCAAGAGGGGTCATGGGCAACCTCTTGGGCAGCCAAGAACCGTTGCAAAATGTACCCTGTCACGTGTTTAACCCTACGATGCACTGCTGAAACCCTACAAAAAGCACAGAGAGGTGACTGTGCAAGAAGGCTTTGTCAAGACACCATCGGTATTCAACTATACGTGTTCGTAACCACTAAGGCTACAACGAATGCAACTACTGAGTATGTTACAAATACTACGATGATACCTGCCTTGACAGCAACAGCAGTTGCAGTGGTCGCCTGGATTCGTGTTTGTAGTTGTGTTCTTGGCAACTTGCAGCAGCGGCAGTAGTAGTAGTAGTAGTAGTAGTAGTAGTAGTAGCAGCAGCAGCAGCAGAAGCAGCAGCAGGAGTAGTAGTATCGTCGTAGTACTAGTAGTAGTAGTAGTAGTAGTAGTAGTAGTAGTAGTTGTTGTTGCTGTTGTTGTTGTTGTAGCACCACTACCTCTACTACTACTACTACTACTACTACTACTATTCCTACTACTACTGCTACTACTACTACTACTACTACTACTACTACGACTACTACTACTACTACTACTACTACTACTACTACTACGACGACTTCTACTTCTAGCAGTCGTGGTAGTGCTGCTCGTGCTGGGAGCAGCAGCAGCAGCGGTAGTTGAAGCGACAGCAGACGATGTACAAGACTATTAGTCGTAAACGTGCTTGCCAGACCACTATCTCCTCATGCTTTCTCAGAAACGACGTCTTTGACGGCATTACCAGCCATAATAAGGACCAGAAGAACAAGTTCAATACGTCGTCGTCAACGGGACGTCGAGCATCACAGCTGTTCCTTTGCGGACAAAAGTGCGTATGTATATGCCGTGTATGCAGATGGATTCACATACGATACAAAGGCAGACAGACAGTGCTGGTGGAATACAAGCCTTCGTGCCATGGGGGGCATACGGAGGCATGTTGCACGTTTGGGAGTCATTTCTTCGTACATCTCTGACCTGAAACTGAATCATGAATCAAGTTCGAGGCTCCAGGGCGCAAGGCAGCCCTTTGGACTCCGGGAAGGCTTCTCAATGCTGCAGGCTTTTGCGCGTTTCTGCAAGGGTGATAAGGCGAGGGCTGAGGAAATGTCGCCAGCGCGAACTACAGGGAGCGCGGTGGGACAGGGCAGCCAGCATCGAGAAGAATCAGCCCCATGCCCCAAAGCTCCGAAGCTGAGAGAGCAAAGGTCTCAAGAGCTCGGAAGCTTTGGACAAGGTGGCACTGTGCAGGACCACGGCGAGTGCCCTCTTGGATCTGTTTTAAAATTTGGATGCCCCTTGCCGAGGCCCGAAATTCAGAGCCTGCAGCTTGGGGTGGTTGAGGCTTCATGGGTCACGGGTCCTCCCATTCTAAACAACCCTAAACCCTAAATCCGCAAACCCTAAACCCTGACCCGAAATTCCCGAAGACGCCCCAAAGATTTCGGGGACTCTCCCGGCAGTTTTAGACCTCGGAAGGTCGCTCGGGCTCGAAGTTCGCCTTCTCCTCCGCCTGGCGACCGCAAGTTTTTGGGCTGAGGGGTTTACCTTAAGAACCCAAAACCTACTTTTTTGTAGGGTCCCTATAAATCCCAGATTGGAGTTTATAATAAGAACCTACAAAAAAGTGGGTTTTGGGTTCTGGAGCTTTAAGGCTTTAGGGTTCTAGGCTTTAGGGTTGAGGGCTTCGGGTTTAGGGTTTCGGGTGTATGGTTTGGGGTCTCTTGCTTTTTCCGGAAAAGGGTTGAGGGTCTAGGCTTTCGGGTTTAGGGTCTCGTAAGAGTTCCATAGGAAGTAGGTGGGGTCTACGATTCTCAGCGTTTTATGATGAGAAACTCACAAATAAAAAACCCTTGATCACAGATCAGCTTCCCTTATGTCCCGAAACGATCCACATGGGCTTAGTGGCTGAGGATGGCTAAGGCCAAAGGATCCAACTTCAGGATCGAAGCTGTGCAGCCAAACTCTTCTGGGGCAGGTGCCCAGGGTTTAGACGTCCTGGGGTGCACTACCCTCAGAATCAACATTGGCTGCTGTGCAAGGTTCAGGGTTTAGAGCTGTCTTTGCTAGGCTTCAAGCCCTAAACCCTAAACCCTCAACCCTCAACCCTAAGCCCTAAACCCTGAACCCATTCGGGTTGGCGCAGTGTCCCTCCTGCTCGGGAAGGACCGGGGCCGTCATCATTGCCAGGCTGAGCCAGGGCCCCAAGGTGAAGTAGACCTCGAACTTTCAGTTCAGGGTTTAGGGTTTAGGGTTGAGGGTTTAGGATTTATAAGAATTAGGATTTAGGGTTTATGGGGTTTAGGGATTTAGGGATTTCGGGTTTAGGGTTGAGGGGTTAGGGTTTGAGGGTTTAGGGTTTGGGGTTGAGGGCTGAGGGTAAGCCCAGAGACGAGTCCTAAACCCGAAGCCCTCATCGTAGAACGCGTGCCCAGGAGCCGTCTTCCAGAGAAGGTTTGACCTTGGACTTGTGGCATGGGTTCCAGCTTTCAATCTGGTTGAAACAGGGCTTGGGGATTTGTCGTGCATTGAAGCCGAGGATGTACTCATACGCGAAATGGGGGTTTCACAAAATAGGGGACCCTACTATAGTCCCCCGAACAGTAGGATCCTTATTATAAGGACCCCAAAATAAGGTATCCTAATCTTCGGAAACTCCCAAATAAGGCACTCGCAAGGAAAGGCTGCAAAACGGGTCCAGGTCACTGCCAAGACGACAAGGCCCTCGTCGGCTCCCGGTAGGTTAAGGCATTCCAAGCACCTCCGAGGCTGCCAGCTCGAGGCCCTTAGGGTTTAGGGTTTAGGGTTTAGGGCTTAGGGACCCGGAAACCCGAAAACTTGGGGTGGTTGAGGGACTCGGCCCGTGGCACTTGAGGCTTTGAGTTCAGTGAAGTGTTGCAGCGAGTTGGGAGGTGAGGTCAGAAACAGCTATCTAGGATTGAACGGCGAAGCTATATAGGATTGCCCAGGTGGAATCCAAACGAAGCAACGATGGACGAATCAGATGCATGCCATCCATGAACACCTGGGCTGTTCAGTGCCGGTGACATTGCTGTCTCGGTAGGCCCGGGACCGGCCAGGATTGGAAGGCAGAAGCCATGGCAATTCCAGGATGGAGGCTTGCAAGTACTTCAAGGATCATGGGACTAGGTAAGTAGGGTTATAACTAAGGTAACTATACATATAACCCCAATTAGGGGACTTATAACCTTACTTACTAAGTTCCATGATCCTCCAAGTACCCATTCCCATGGTTCACCAACATGAGCTCAGTCCACACGATTCGTGTCTACGACCGGCCTAGCCATCACATCTTTGCTTCTACCCCGCGCGTGTAAGGTGTCTGCTGAGGAATGAGGAGCAGGAGAACTGCAAGCTACAAATCACATAGATCACAAGCTGTGAGCTTGCAGATGCTCACGATATTGCACTTCGACTCAATGGTAGTCAAACAAACTCGCTGAATATCTGGAGGCACCGTTCAGATTCGTTCATGTAGGCATTGGAGAGCTGTTGGGATGAACCATCATCACCCCAGCGTTTATGATTCTCGGGCCTGCGACCCTACACAAGCATAGAAACCCCACCACAACCCTGTAAACCCTAGCAAAAATCGCTGCACTCACCTTTTCAGTAGCCCCGGACCAGGCCTTGCTTCAAGCCGTTCGGTTCGATTCCCTCGAGCTTCTGCGCATCGTATGCCTCCCAGTAGGAAGGGACGTCCACCTTGACTGCTGGAACAGATTACTGGCTGTTCGATGCAGGTACAAGGGTTCTACCCAACAAACCTGCCCCCCCTTTGATCACTGCTCGGGGCTAGCAGCAGCTGAAGGTCACAGTTTGCATGCGCGGCCAAAATTGACCGAAAGTGCCTTCTCTCCCAAACTCCCCAGGCTAACTGAGAGCCAACAAAAAACAATCGACAAGCCGGACACCCCAACTTCAGACGCCGCAATGCCAGGCCACCGCGGCCATGTAAGGCACGTAGCCAAGGCAGAAGATCGTCAGGGCTATGGCGAAGTGCAGCCCTGTGAAGCATCCACATCTCGCCTCGCACAGCTTCGGTTGCACGGCTGTGGAACTGTGCCACCTTTTTGTGTAAGGTTGTGTTGGGTCACGCTCTGTTGGCCCGCCTGGCTTGGCTCACGACGGAAAGGAGCACATCCCTTTAGGCCTTGCAGCAAAAAAGACCCCTCACGCTCACAGCTTGACGTCTGCAACACCAGAGTTCTGTACAGTTTCAGATGAGCGGTTCGGAGTTCAGGGCGCAGAGGCTTGGATCTGAGATTTAGGGCTCAGGGCACGGGATTCAGCAAGGCCCTGGGCTGAAGGCGAGGAGCAGGAACCGTGCATCCGGGTCTGGATCCAACGGGAGTGGTGCTGCTGCCATAAACATCTTGCTATGTGGGTAGTTTTCAAAATTAGGGCCCCTTTTTGGGGTCCTTTTTATAAGGGTGCCGTACTATATTGGGGACCTAAAAAGGGACCCTAATTTAGAGCACTACCCATGTTGCGATTATGATGAACCCAGTCGCCTCACGTCCAACTGCCGCCGGCTGCTGCTTGCCGTTGCATTCTTGGCTGCGCCTGTAAGTCGCGAAGAGCAGGTGCACGTAGACCTCGGGGCTTTGTTTGGTTTAAACGCACGGCCGATCCACCATTGGCTTTTGGGCTTCGGGTTCAGGGATCCAACTTTTTCCACCCCCACAACTAGCTGGCAAGTCTTCAGGATACTGAACCAGGCCGCTTTGCTCAGCTTAGGCTTCTCAGAGACACATTAAAACCTTATAGATGTGAAGACCAACGGCCGGCAGCCCAATGGCAAAGGCGATGGCCCAGCATGTCTCCTGATACGACTTTTCGTCATGTACCCTGACGGCATAAATAAGCAACGCTGACGACGTGTTTGCTGCTGCTGGTGGCACTAGATCTACTTGTGATCCTCTTCCTCCTCCTATTCCCGCTTGTACTACTAACGACTACAAACTACTAGATCTACTACTAACTGCTACTATCCACTACGACTAACTACAAAATACTACAAAAAAAACTACTACTCCTCCTCCTCCTTCTCCTCCTCCTCCTGCTCCTGCTCCTGCTCTTGCTCCTACTACTACGACGACGACCACTACCACCACTACCACTACTCCTACTCCTACTCCTGCTCCCACTGCGACTGCTACTGCTACTGCTACTGCAACAACAACTACTACCACCACTACCACTACTCCTACT